AGAGATTTCACATGCTGAAAGAGTAGTAGGTTGCAAGTTGTAGTCATATTAAGAGCTGTAGATCCTGTCTTTGAAACAAAAGCTATTGTAGCCATCGTGATGATGAATTTTAATTGCAATGTGCAGCTGGAGAGAGCGCGAGAGACAACTTTCACCGCCCATTGCGCCTCAAATACTGTCGTGACCAGTTGCAGTACTAGTCAATATGTGGCTCGCGGACCACGGCGGTTTGACAGATATTCCGATAGAAAAGATCTTGGCATCTCATGGATATATTTATAGTTATTTAATTGCTACGAAACTAGTTTTTGCTTAATGAATGGCTTTCCAGAAACTCTCCCGTTTTAAAACGTATGAAGCCAGCGAGTTTAGTACATTTTCAGAAGTTGTATCATGTTGACAATATTCAAATGGATCTTAAAGAAATAATGTGGATGTGGACGGACAGGGTCTTGTTCAGGGTAATGAACATTGACGTTCCGTATGTAAGGCGGGTAACTTCTTGATTGTGGGAACTGCTATTAACATCTCAAAAGGGTATTGTGCTTCGTGGAGTTGGTTAAAGGATTTGTACGTCTGAAAAGTCGTTAGAAAATTCCATGGCCTACCACAGTAACATACGAGAAGTGTCCCATGAAATCTGAAATCGGGTCCTTGCTTGGTTCTTCCAGCTTCAGTTAATTGCAGGTTGGGAATTACGTGAGATACCTCTCCTGAGATTCGAAATCCAGTCAAGTTAGGTGGCCTCTGTAATTCAGCTGAGTGACATTATTAGGGTGCTGCAGTGTGCAATCAGTAAAACAACTGCAATTTTGTAACTTATTCAATAGGCACATGAAATACATCGTAATATATACAGTTTTAAGTTGCAAGACTTTACAATATTATCGATTCCATCTGCCTACGATTATACGGGAATTGACTAGTGAAGAAATGTTACGAAAATTCGACTGTGCGTTTATTTCAATATCTACATGTTTTGATATCCCGTGGTTTTTTCAGCTTTTGCAGGAGAATTACAGGATTTTTCTTTAAAAAAAGGTGTTGACCAGATTCAGAAACAATAATTTCTCGCCGTTCATGATTTTAACTCTTTCTTGCGCTAAGCAATCTAATTTATGTAACATTGTTAAAGTGCTGCATTTCACTTACCACTGTTCTAAAACAAAATAATCCACTTTAATATTATCATGCTGTATACGCCTAGGTATGCCACGGTGGTCTAGCGGTTATAACGCTGGCCTTGTAATCCTGGGGTCTCGGGTTCGATTCCCGGCGGTTCCCGAATTTATAACTTGTGTTGGGGAAGGCCGTGGTTTAGGCAACACGGAGTTTTCCTCCGGGGGCTTCCCCGGTTTCTCCGTGGCATCCCAACAATTACTCCATTCACACACAGAAGAAGGCAATGGCAAACCACTTCTGGATCATCTGCCAAGAACAGGTCCCAGTCCGAGAAAAGGACGGAAGGATCCTGTTCATATGGACCTCTCGTCAGACAGAACACTAAATAATAAATAATAATAATGTCAGTGTCAATTCACACACAGAAGAAGGCAATTGCAAACCACTTCTGGATCATCTGCCAAGAACGTATATGAACAGGTCCCAGTCCGAGAAAAGGATGGAAGGATCCTGTTCATATGGACCTGTCGTCAGACAGAACACTATAAATAAAAATACGCCTAGGTCTTCCAAGTGATCTATTTCGTTCGGGTTATCTAGCCACAAGTGTGTACGCATGTCTCATCTCATACGTGCTTTATGACCTGTCAATCTTATGCCACTTGATGTGATTTTCTTAATACGTAATATAGTTTCTTCGTCTGTCATGTAGTAATATGTTACATTATGAACGTAGGTTTCACAAGTTATGTTTTCAATTTCTCCGTTTGTATTTGGTCCAGATTTTTGCTTTAACACGTGTTCTCAGACATTCGTCATGTTCACCCTCCCAATGCCTTGTGCATTCAGCATCATCGCTTCTTTTTTTGCGAACCGTAATTGCTCAGTACCTTAACAGAAGTCGATTCGCTACCCATTTTGTCGGTTTACTGACTCCTTTTTTCAGTCCGTGCGCTTGGGTTTGTGGCCCTAACCAACCACAAGTACGTGTAGCAACCTGCTCACGAGCTGCTTTCCCTATTCGTAACTCTTATTTCCACGATTTTCCCTTTTAGCCTGCATTTCTCGCTGTCAACTCTTTTCAGTTTCTGGAACTCTGCCATGCATTTGTAAGGAATATTTTCAAAGGTTCTTCCCATTTGAGTCTTGCATTCTGGTCGAATTATAATGGAATGCTGTTCTTGTGCATAGGAACAAAACTTCCTGTTTCTTAAATGTCTGGCTGAGTGACTCGGTTTTCGAAGAAGTTGGTCGACCTGTTATAGACAATAATGCAGGTACGTTGTAGGGGTAAGGGCGAAATCGTCATGATCCGCGGAAGTCGGAGCAGGTAGAAAGCTTTGTACACCAACATTGGCGAGGCAGTGCAGAGCGGGAGTCAACCTGTAGGAGCCGAGGTACGTGCCTCTAGAGACATTTGACGAACAAAGGTATGATACGTGGGGTAACATTGAGGAACATTGTACCTTTTGTACGTGCAATGCTTTTAGGTTGTGTTCCAGTTTAGAGTATAGACCAACAGATTCCAATCCCATTTTCTTGAGATTTTATATCACCAGTTGGATCTCGTGTTCTTGTGTCGGACGGACAAATCTTTTGATGTCAGACAATGGGTAGTGGGGATACTACATGCCATGAAATTATAAATTCTAATCCACAGTGGAGTTACTACGTACGGTATGAAATGGAGTTTCACTTACATAGTTTATACTAACTCTAGCCCATTTCCTTCTTAAAAAAATAATTAGTACTCTCAGCTAATCAGATTACCAGCCTTTTATGTAACACCCAAAGGTTCAATACCGTCTTAACAAGACCCAGTCATCGGTCCTTATCCTAAGCCAGGTGAAAACAGAAGATGACCGTCTTCTGGGTTGTTCCATGTATTGTGGTACAAGTTTGCCGACTTTTAGAGGTCCTTGCAGCCTCCATCACCAAGCCATAACGGTGGCCAGAAACCCTCCTGTCGAACCTGCCCTATTTTACCTTATACATTTTTTTGTGTATCAGAGATTACATAGGAAGTTACAGTTGATACTTCTTCGATAAAAGGGGATTCATTCTTTGATTAGTGTATAAAGCCCACTGAAATGTACCTTGCAATAATTTATTTTCTTATTGTCACGAAATAACGAAAATTTAAAATAAATGTAAGCCTTTCTGGTTTTTTAGGTCGTGTGAACGTTGTCGCCTATGTCATCGTCCATTTAAATGTTGTGAACACGAGCATGAAATGCATTAGAGTAACCGTCACCAAATTGCATGCCTCAAGGCCACAGGACTCCCCGCTACCGCGTGGCGTGGCTGTAAGTCAACAGTTGCAAGGGTTGATGCGCTGCAAATTCTAGCTGTCTATACTCGCCTGCTTTCCGCTGTTTATGTTACAACGTTGTGTTAATTTGGTATGGGCTTGAAGCATGTAATTCAGTGACGGTTACTGTAGCAAAGATGTTTATACTTTGAGGTGTAGTCATGTTTCGAAGTGTCATTGGCGTGTAGTGTAATAATTTCCGATAGGTGCAGTGCATTTGAATTCTGTTGTTCTTGAGAATTCTGTAAGGGAGTTTATTGGATTAAACATCGTTATGAGCAGATTCTGTCGGAATGTTTACTCATTTTGTGTCCCAGTTGATGGAAGTGTAGGAATCAGGCGCGTTGTGCCACACGTAACTTGATATGAACGTAAGGAATTTCAGGTTCTCTCGGCCGTGAAAATGTCGATTGAGGTCTCCTGTGTTCGTACCAACGTTTCGGAGTATAGTATCCATCTCCTAACAAGAAAATGGAAACGACATGTCCCTTCAAGACGCCGGTATCCACCTGAAAGATAAGGGGGCATCACAACGGGCATAAACTTGGGTAATTACATGTCAAGGTCACAGCTGACTGACTCTCTGTATTGGGGTTTGTGTGCCATGTTCCATTAGGATACTGGCATGCTTATTCCATGTTTTAAAAACATGTTAAAAAAGTTCTGGATTTTAAAACGCCACTAATGAAGCAACATCTGAGGGTCAGAAATTTAATAGATCTTTTGTCGTCAGGTCAGGCGTGAAACTTGTTTCATCGTATAAGTTTATGTGAAGTTTATTATTTGTATGAGTTGCTTGCTTTGTGATTTGAGAAGTACAGCAAGAAATTTCGTTTGACTTTAAACCTTTCTCTGTGGCTGCACGATTAGTATCAAAGAAGGAAGATTTGACGGTTAGGTGGTTAACGTGTCTAGATTATAACCCGGGACATCCCGAAGACGAATCACCGCGACTCATAAAACACATTTGTGGGCCAGCGTAGTCCGAGAGACCCCTTTTCGGTAATGTCTCCGAAGCTGTCTTTCTGTAAGGTTACATTCGAAAGAAATGTGCGTATGTGCTTTTGTATGCGTCTTTTCATGCATTCGACGCTGTATAACTTCTGCACGATAAAGAACGTCTTCTCTTTTAAACATATTTTATTCTTAAACTGAGTTTCAAGTGTCATATCTTTAATTTATTTTTGATTGTTGCACATTTTCTGCAGGCAGTTTTTAAATTCCGACAAAATGAGTACTGCTTCCTCAGCAGGAGATGAATTAGCAGACCATTTGAGCGGCTGTTACCGGCTTAAGGACTGTATTCTGTGGAGTCGGCCAGAAGCCAAGGGTAGTCCATTCACTTTCGGAGTGGAGCTGCAGAAATTGTTGCCTTCCTTACCACACCTCGTCAATTACTCACCTTTATCGTCTTTGACGTGGTATAAATTCTTGTGATGTAATTGTGTATTAACCTTGGCTGTAATTATTACAGTGTTGTGTTTGTTTGTAGCGTTTGTCCATGTTCTTGTATAACAGAAAACCCGCAAAGAGGGCGTTTTGGAATATTGACGTGGGGTGGGGATGGGAGAGGGTAGATTAACGACGTGACAGTTCTGTTGACTGATTGTTGTGAACCGAAAGAAACGTCTTCATGTGACAGTCGAAATCTCGGCGGAGGAAGGTCCACAGCCGGTATTGCTTATAGGCGACAGTCCATTGTTCTGTCAGTCACGGCGTGCGCATAGACTTGTTCATCTGTTCTGCTTTTCTTTATGGACGTAGTGTTTTAACGCCGGTTGATACATATTCCTATCTTGATGGCGAGGTGACGGAAGAAGTTGGTCGAAAATTCCAGTAATGTCGATACTGAAAGCTCTGAATTTAGTTCGTGGGAATAATATCTACAATAGAAAATCGAACTGCGTATTCGTCCGTCTATACATCCTTCCATCCACGAGTTGTACTGCAGTTTCTCGTATTGATTACCGAACAGGCAGACACTTGATGTCCGACTTGCAATCATCTGGCTCGTTACCATGAAACTACGCTACGAAAGAGTGCTGCATCACACAAGGCCGCCCGATATTCAGACCTCTTTAGTACATGATGCATTGTATTGATTGCTCGTTTATCGTCATGGTTATTGCGTGTTTCTGTTACCTAATTGGGTTTAATTAACGAAATGAACAATTATGATTCAATTAACAGTTGTTAAGCTGATGAGAAAATTAAGTGTAAAGGACATCAGTGAACGATACTCGTTGGGTCCTGCCCATCACAGCCTGATCTTAAAAATTATTTTTTTATAGGTGCTGGTCGGTTATAATCATAAATATTGATATTAATACTGTACACGTATAAGTTTAGTTAATCTGTTTGTGTACTATTTTTCATTATTATTTCACTATTATTGTATGTATTATCAGTGTTTGCCTGTTATTGGCTTCTTGCTGTTGGCAAACACGTAAATAAATTAATTGAATTAATTGAATTGAATAAATCACTGAGTTGGTTTAGGTGACTCATTTCTCTGATGTGTTATTCAGTCTTACAGTAATTTGCATTCTGTGTACATCTGCATCAGATAACAGTCTTTAAAGTGAAAATATACATTTACACAAAATGTTTGCTTCTTTTAACACTGCTTTCTGATCTTATGCCAATTTACAGGTTTGCATAATCGCCCCTTTTCAAGGATTACACCATTTGGCCTGTTCGGTTTGACGCCATCTCGCCAGTGTTCTTATGTGTGTATAATAAATTAGTAGTTGACTAAATGGCGGTTACTTTCTGCGTGTAATTTAAGATGATAGGCCCAGATGTACACGAATGTTGTAATAAAGAATTTATGCACGTCCATGGTGTGTACCGTATTGTGTTTTAGCCAGAAACTATGGTTAAAGTAGCTACGTGTTTCGGTACCAGAAGTCGAAGTGGTTGTACCGCCGAGGCTTCTCAACAAGAAATACGCATGATCCGCCTCATTTGGTCGTTATTGATTGTGGGTATTCCATCCAGGAGACTGTACGCGTCTGAGTGGCGTTTGTGCCGGACTCAGACCGTGAGACCAGAGTATGAACTGTCCAGAAACACTTAGACCGCGAGCAAGACACAAGATCTTCAGACTAGACCGCGTAGGTGCTTCGCGGTCTGGTCTGAAGATCGTCTCGCACTTCGGTCGTTGTCTGCTGCTCTTTCATGACGACATCTAAAGTTTTCCCGCTGATACACACCAAGTATCATTCGAGATTCTCCCCCAACAGAACTGCTAGGAAATTTACCTTAAGTTATCATTAGTAAAATATATCCTGATCTGGTATGTTATACAGTGTTCTTCACAGAAGACCGTGGTCAACATTTTGAGTAGTTATAAACTTATCTCACAGATGGTAACAGTTTATTCATATGATCAGTTCTCTTGTTCACTGTACCTTGCGCACACCTTGAAACCACGATAGGTGTTGAAAACACGAACACTGCTTTATCAACATTTTGTACTATAAATTACGTCCCAAATCTTCACTCCCCCCCCCCCCCCCCCCCCG